AATTGCAAATTGATGCTATCAACTGCATACAGAGAGAATCAATATAAAATGATTTACAGATGGCATTTAACACCGTCGAGATTGGCCAAAATGTATAAAAACATAGACCCGAAGTGTTGGAAATGTAAAATCAGAGAAGGAACATTTTATCATATGTGGTGGCTGTGCCCCAAAGCAAAAAACTATTGGGAATGAATAAGAGATTGGATACAGGAGATAACTGAGATACAAATGGATTTTAAACCAGAATTATTTCTTTTGGGCATAATAAATTTAAAGATAGAAAAACAACTCCAACACATCATTATACACATATTGACTGTAGCTTGTATAGCATTTGCTCAATGTTGAAAGAGTGAAAATATACCCACAAATGATATGATTATGTACAAAATCTTGGAATATGCAGAAATGAACAAACTTACGTTAGAATTAAAAGACAAGGAGGTGACAGAATTTTATGAAGTTTGGAATAAATGTTATAATTGGCTAGAACAGAGAAAGAAAAAGACATAATTATTGATGTACATAAAATGTAAATAAGATGTAAAGAATGCTTAAAATGTATAGTACTGTTCTGTTAAAAGAAAAGATTTATGTTTATGTATTTTAAGTTTGTTTTGGTGTATGGTGTATGGTGAAAAATAATAAAATTTAAAAAATAAAGTACTCACTTTGCACATTCTCAAATTGAGTCTTTGTGTAGAAAGCAAAGGTAGTTCTTGACTTACAACTGTTCATTTACAGTAGTTCAAAGTTGCAATGGACTTGGAAAAAGTGACTTACAACCCATTCTCCAAGTTAGGACCGTCCCCCCCATGCAGTGGTCATGTGATTGCAATTTAGGCATTTGGCAACTAGCTCACATCTTCCAACAAGGAAAGTCAATTGAGGAAGCTGGATTCACTTAGTGACAATTCACTTAACAACCAATGTAAAATCAGATCTGGTGATGTGATGACTTACTTAATAACTGAGTCACTTAGTGACTGAAATTCTAGTCCCAAATGGGGTTGTAAGTTGAGAACTACCTGACTTAGATGGAGATATGCAGGTGCTTCTGCCTAATAACAGGACTAAAGCATTTTTTTAAGGCCAGAAAACTTTTGGAAGCAGATTAGATATATCAATGCATTGAATATGTTCATCAGGACTGCACTTATTTAGAAGTTTTCTTCTCAAGGAGGAGGTGGAAGTATAATGCAGTTAGACTTGCAACATTCCATTAATATAGCCAGTCCCAATAAAAATAGTTTCAGCCATCTTGTAGAGATAATTTCATGATCTGGTCTATCTAGTGGGGCTGACACCTTGGGAGATTCTTTTCTTTGCTGTTTACAACCACTGTCAGAGTAGCACTAGCACTAGCACTTTACAACCCTCTCTAAACGGTTTAGAGAGTCAGCATATTGCTTCCAACAATCTAGATCCTCATTTTATCAGCCTCGGAAGGATGGAAGGCTGAGTCAACCTTGAGCCGATCAGAATCAACTGCTGGCAGTTGGCAGAATCAGCCTGCAATACTGCATTCTAACTCCTGCGAATGATGGGCCAAGCAATTTCACTTCATCCATATTGCATTTTCGAGATTTGAGGTTCTGGGAGCTGAAATCCAAATAAATGTAGTAGGCACAAAGTAAAGGATGTGTCCTAGGGCAGACGAGATAGTGGATCTGTCCACATAGTACTTAATTAAAAAGCCACACAAGTCAGTGTACATAGAAATAAGGAATGTAATTTAAACAGGTTTCTCAATGATTGAAGGGGGGAATTAATACTAGGGTGCATCACCTCCGAGCAGAGCTCACATAACTTAGCAAGTAACAGTCAAGCTGGACTGAACCTTTTACATTTTCTTATAAAGACTAGAATACACTATCTTGATCATAGATGTAGCTATGATGGTAGAACTATTTTAGGAAGCAAGAAAGGATTGCAGAAGTAGACTAAGGAACAAGATGAAAAGATGACAACCTCTCCAATTCAAACAAGTCACAATGTTAAGACTTATATCATTTTGCTAACTAAATATAAAATTGTCTCAACTGAGTGTGTTCATCAGCACTTCATCTATTTTGAAGTTTTCTTCTCCAGGGGTTTTAGCACCAACTTAGCATTATACACCAGCCTTAATCAGCTCATACAGCTAAGAAATGTCATGGACTCAGTCTAGAGACCCATATGTGAACTCTGCAGACAGATAAGTATTAAGTTGTTGTTGTTAGTTGCGAAGTCGTGTCCAACCCATCGCGACCCCATGAACAATGTTCCTCCAGGCCTTTCTGTCCTCTCTGAAGCCTGAGAATTTTGGGCACAGATGCCAGATATTGTAATTGTTACAATATCAGGGGAAACTTACTGTGTGGAGAGAAATTAACACCTGGTTTTAATTCATTTGATTCAATTTGACAATTTAAATTGAATTGTTAAATTGAATCAAATGAACAATTTAACAAATTTAGTTTTTTGATGTAATACCATCCATTGTTAAGACTGTGGCCATAGTACATATTCAAGGATTAAATGGGGCTTTCAATCTTATACAAGATGCACCTAAGTGTGGTAAGAACCGTGATGGTGCAGTGGTTTGAATGCAGTATTGCAGGCTAATTCTGCTGACTGCCAGGAGTTCAGCCCTGATCAGCCCATGATTCAGCCTTTCATCCTTCAGAGATAGATCAGTAAAATGAGGACCCAAATTTTGGAGGGCAATATGCTGACTTTGTAAACCCCTTAAGAGACGGCTGTAAAGCACTGTGAAATGGTATATAAATCTAAGTACTATTGCTATAAATGGGAAAATATTCTGCTACTACGTTTTACCTTCTCTCTTTACCTCAACATATTTGCAGACAGCATACTCATATAAAGTACCAAGTTGGAACCAGTTTTCTTTCAAAGTATTAATTAAGCTGCTGACTATGGTATATTTATCCATCTTGAAAAATCATTACCTTTGGTCAAAGCAAACATGACTTCATGACCTTTTTTTTTTTCCTGTATAATTTTTTCCTCCTTCCAGTCTGCTAAAGCAGACAAAATAGCCCTGGAGTGAATTGCCAAGGGGAGGGAGAATTGCCCATATCTCCTGTGGAAACCTACTGTATGTCCATATTCCTATCATGAACAGAGCATATGCTATTTAATGTCTGATGCTCAGGCCTGGAAAATCCAGCACATCTAAAACAGGAATGCTTACTGACCTGATTGTTCTTCTTTTTCTTCAGAGAACAAATAAGTTAAAAAGATAACAGCTGCAAATGTGAGAGAGACTGAAATGAAAAGGCTGGACCCTACTACTGAGAGATCCAGTGAAAACCACATAACCAGGGCACGAGTGCTCTCTTGTATGATATTTATAGATGCTATCTCAGGCTCCAGACAGCTTCTTCTGTTACACATCTTTCTTATTGGTGGATATAAAAGTCATGTCCTTACACTGAAATTGTGATGCTGGCTTACAAGTGCATTCAACTTTAAAGGACTACATTCAAAAGTAGATATTTTTTCCAAAAGGAAGATCTATTCTACGGGGTACAACCAAACAAGATAATCTTAATCTATGACTTCTACTAGAGAAAGAAAAAAACAAGTGTACTATAATCCAGGCAGCCCAGCACCCTCCATATGTATAGACTACAGTTTTTAGATTTTTCTATGCTGACACGGAATCTTGAATCTCATGAATTCTTTTGAAATCTGGAAATCTGGATGATTCATGGCATAAACATGTATTTTTTCCAATCCATCTGGATGATGAAAGATTCGGGATGGTGGTCGTAAGCTTTTCTCCATACACAGAAATAAAATCAGACTGTAACCATTTGCAGCAAAATGAATTGTGTGTGTGCAGCTAGAGTTGTTTCATCTTAAACAGCAAATCAAGTTATATAAGAGAGTCACACAATAAGATGCCTTGAGTCACCATGTGCGAGTAGGCAGCGATATAAATTTTCTAAATAAATAAAACAGTCATAGATATGCTAAGTGTAATAAAAAAATCAAATGCAGATATTAAAAGATGCATTCAACTGATGTACATTGTCACTTTTGCTATAAAAATGCATTTACTTACCATTCTCAGCTTTTCACTCAGCAAATGCCCCAGAAGAGACAGTATTACTAATTTATTGTTCATCACCGTGATGAACACACACATGCAATTCAAACCTGTTTATGCTTACTCAGAAATGTTTCATTATGGTCACATCTTGTTTCAGAATATGTGGATGGCTTTCGCAGAAGTTCATGAATATCATTTTAAAACGTCCATTTAAAACATCTCTGAGACAAAGCAACTGACTGTAAGATAGCTTTAATCCCAAACATTAACCAAACCTGTTATGTTCTGCTCTATGCCCGAGGGCAGCAATTCTTTGCCTGTTTCCAGATGCTCTGAGCTGCAACTTCCGAAATCTCACATCATTGGCCACGTTGGCTAAGATCGGGGCCGATCGGCCAACTCATCTGAAACACACCCGGGTGTGTACCCTGGGAACACAGTTTACCGAGCTTGGTGAACCCACTGCCTGACATTATTGTGGTAGCACAATAAGAATTCCATGCACATCTCTAAAAAAAATTAATAGCTGCTGCCAAATTGGTCTCCAGAATCTGTTTTCTAACGAGCCGGGGAAGAGCCCATTGGTATTTCAACGATTCACTCCATGCATATAATCCCATCCTTTCTCAATCACAGAAAACCCTCCGTTATTATGGAACACAACGAGGCATCGACCTTCCAACAAAAACACGTGGGTTCCAACGAAGCGAGCAAGAAAACGCGCACGCGCTTTAAAGGGACTATGCAACGCCTCATGCAAGCTCGCGTTCGCGCGTGCGCAGCCCATCCGCCTACCAATTCCGTTCAAGATTCTTTGGCGACGAGTTTTTTTTCCCCTCCTTCCTTCCCCCCCTGTTCCCCCGCCCCTTTCAAAGTCTCCACCGTCTTCGCCAGTGTTCTAAATCTAAGCGGCAGCTTCTTCCCCGGAAGAGAGGGGTCGATGGGGCGGGGCAAAGAACACCGGAAAGTTAGTTTCGCTTCCGGCTGCGTCGAGGGTTCCCGCCTCTTCGAATCCGGGTGGAAGGAAAGAAAGAAAGAATCGCGGGCGGCGGTTTCCGAGAGGGGAAAGCGAGCGGGGGAACGACGCGGGGTAAAAGGCGGGAACGGCCGACTATGCCCTTCTCCGTCATGGTCGTTGCTTCAGCTTCCGGCGTGAGGGTGGGGGTCTGGACGTGTCCCTATGGCAACAGCGCGCCTTGCCACTAATCTCCCAGGCCCGACGCGCTTCCCACGAGAGCCCCTTTCTCTGCGGTTCCGGCTCCACTTCCCTTCCGTCCCCATAGAAGGCCTGGCCTCGTAAGGAGTGACTGAAAGAGAAAAGAAAGGGCGGGCTCCGGTCGAGTGAACGGCGAGCGCGGGAGTCGGAACAGGCCTGGCAGAGTTTGACGGTTGGTCGTGTTTCCTTGCAAATGCTTCATATTTCGAAGGGGAGGGGGAGAGGGTATTTTGATTCAAAACCCTGTTCCAAAGGTAGGTAACTTGCGTGTTTGGAACTAAGCTCCCACAAACTCGTATTGTTGTTTTTGTTGCCTGGGGCTGATGGAAGTTATATAACAAGCAGCAAGCACGAGGTTTGCATGCCTGGGGCGTGGAATATCCCCATAGCTCTTAACAGTGCTGACTATGGAGGATGAAAGTGATAGCCCAAAACAAATTTTAACCTCTTCACCCTGTCCGCTAAACATGTGTCAGCACTCAGACTAAGCTTTGTTGGTAAATAAGCCTGAATACTGTAGTGCAGTGGTTCTCAACCACTGGGAGGGGGGCGCGGAGGTTTGAGGAAATGTTATGATTTAAATAATTGAGTTGTGTCTTGGAGGTCCGTGGCCACAAAAGGTGTTTAAAGGGGGTCTGTGGTGAAAAAAGGTTGAGAACCATTGCTGTAGTAGGATAAAGTCTCCCATTGGCAGTCATTTTCTCCTCCCAAGTTTATTCCCCTCTGCTCCTGCTTTTGTAGTCTTTGGTAAGAGGAAAGAATTTAAGAGAATGGTGTTACCAATCTGGAATGAGCAGAGTTGGAATTAATTTTTTTTTATAACATGTATATGTGAAAATGGTAACATTGTCATAGAGTTGTATGGGATTGTAGAGTTCAACTAGGTAGTATAGCCTATGGTTCCAGGCAGGATCAAGTAGAATATTTCTGACTGGTGACTATTTGCCCTGTTTTGAAACCTATAGTGAATGAACCATAGTTTTTCCTGTTTTACATTTGTTTCCCTTTGTGAAAATAGAATAGAGAAATCTGAATGTGGGAGGAAAATAACACACACAGAATTGTAACTCCTACAGTTTGCCTTCAGTTCTTCACAAATTCATCATCATGAATTGCAGACCAAATTAAAAGGATAACCACATCCTGAATAACTAGTTCCACTCTAGATTTTTAGTTACATCAAGAAACACATGAAGAGTATGAGATAGATACTCATCTCCTTTTTAAAGACAACATCAGTATAAACAAATTGTATTTTGGAGACGTATCAAAAAACTTTTTGGCATTGATTTATTATTTAGACTGACACATTTAAGAGTTGGAAGAAATATTCTGTGGTGCAGGCTGGGATGCTGGACTTTATTTTTATTCAAAGAAGGAGAGGAAACAGCTTAAAATTTGTTGCTGTAGCCAATAATAAACTGAAGTTCTGAAAACATCTGTTGCAACTTCCCGATATATGAAATGACTTTTTTAAGAGATAAATTTTCTTTTTAAAATTTTTAAAAATCATTTTTAAACTGTATTGGTTAAGTTACAAGCCTAATCATAGCTTTTCCCCCGGCATACTGTAATAGGGAATGTAGAACTTGGGTAAATAGATGAAACATGTACATTTTTTATAATAGTTGTTTTTGCTGTTATTAAAATGGCTCACTGATATTATATTTTACCATGATTTCATACAAGAATATGAACTGGCCCTCCCCAACCGGGTATGCTCCAAATGTTTTTGGTAGTCTGAAATAGCTCTTGTCAGTATTTGAGAGAATAAATTTGATGCCAACTTTTAGAGGACAGAAATAAATATTGTTTGTAGTGTCATCTCAAGTAGAGTTGGAGAAATGCAACTGCTTTCAAAGCCTAATGATTATATCAGGAGATATTGTGGCATAAGAGTTATATATTTCCTTCCACTAAGATTTTTTTTTAAATGTGACATCTGGTTCATCTGTTTATTTAATGTATAACATTTGCTTTATCTTCCACTCTTTTTTCAGGTTCTTGAAGATTCAGTTAATTTGAGTCAGTTATGTAAAGAGCATAATGATGGGTGAGTATATGCTACATTAATCCATTTAATTGTCAATTTTAAGTTACTATTTTAGAATCTACTATTTCAAGAAACCTCTCATTAAAGCAATTGGCAATCATTTTTAGTTAGGTTCAAATTTATTATTTGACATTTAATAATTAATGCATTTCTGAACAATTTCTGTAACTAATGGTTTTCCTAATGTTGCAGAGTATTTGCTATCATTGTGGTTTCTTTAATGATCGTGAATGTACATACACCATATGCCACAATTAGTAATTGTGATAGATTTGTAAGAGCTACCACATAACTATTCATCTTTTGCTAGGTCTACTTAAAATAATCAGGTTCTGAGGGGAGAACACATTCTTTTTCTTAATTTTGTTCTCTTTCCACCGATTGGGTTCACATATTCTGTTAGGTTATAATGTGCTTTGCTGGGGAGCAGGGGAGGGTTTGTTTCGTGTGAACATAGCCACTGAGCTGTGTAAACTGCAGTTTATAGCTCTGTTATGAATGAAATCAGTCAATTTAGTTCATTCAACAAAATATGGTTAAAATATATGGCTTAATGGAGTGTGAAGTAGTTATATTCAAAGGGTCCTTTATTCTTATACTTTTTAAAATAATATTTTAAAATATAGTTCCTTTTTAGAAGCAGTAAGTACTCATTGAAAGCATGCTCTGATGCTTTTTATAAGTTGCTGACATTAGTGTTGCTTGATTTGTGTTTTCTTCCTTGTATATGTATAATTTTTCTACTTTTTTACATTCTGTTTATTTACCTTTTTCATAAGCCCAAAATTGCAAACATTTAATCTTTTGCTCTCATTATTATACTTATTACCTTTCCCTGTGTTAAAATTGTGGAGAAATGCTAACACATTGCCTGTACTTTGGTGCTGCTTTTTTATCTTTTCTCTATTGAAGTCTCATATGCATTCTTCAGCACTTTCTATTTTGTTATATAGAATCTGTAATAGCAAGAAAACAAATTGCTTATTTTTCTTCCTCGAATAATAAACTTTTTTTAATTAAAGATGAAACTACTGACTGTATGAAGATGGATGCTGGGGACTATATGCAAGCTAATCATACTTCTGTGTTCAAGACTTTTCCTGAGCAACAGAATTTTATTTCAGGCAACCAGCATCCATTGTCTGACAACAAGGTTTGGGAATCAGTTACTTCTGCTTTCTTATCTGTACAGTGATTTTTATAAATCAATATATGTCTGATTATACATTAATTTTGAAATTACATTTAATAAAGAAGCTAGAAACTTATCTTATGTCACTCTGGCTATTCAGATCAAGATTTATAAGATTTTAATCCTCTGCTTCTAGATATTCAAGCCTCTGCGATTAGTAAGAATGCTGCAAAATTTATTACAGAATATTTGGTACATGCGGTCCTTGCTTAAACACCAATTGAGACTGGGATTTTCATCACTAAGTGATATGGTCATTAGGTGAAACATTGTGTAACAGCACCCCTTAGCATCAGCAATGGCAGGGCCATTGCAACAATTAAGATAGTCATAAATACCATTCCTTCAGCCCTATTGTAACTGAACAGTGATTGAATAAATAGTCATTGCGCAAGTACCTGTCCTTATTAATATGACTCATTATTTTTTTGCCTTACAATCATGAACAGTAATAACATTTTATCAGTTTCTTCTGTTAAATAGTTTTCTCTGATTTGCTTTTCCAACTTTCTTAATCTTTACTACTGAAGTTCTAGACTGTGAAATAACCATGTTGAGATTGTTTTGTACTATTTTTTATCTTTTGTAATCGATTTTCATTATATTTTGTAACTGAAGAATGTTAGAGGGACTAGGAGTTGCAATTACTTCTTAACATGTAATTTAACTACTGAAACTACTGGTTCTTTTCTTGACATTTTTTATTTTTTGTTTCTCTTTTAGTTTTTATCAAACAAGTTTAACAGCTTCGCCGAACCGTCCACTTCTCTAACGGGAAATACTTGTAGTTTCAATTACTATCCAGGTAAGTCTGGTTGCATTGGCTTGTGAACAGATGAAGATCTGTCAGAACATTCTAACAGTTAAGTAATAAGTCACATATGATCTGTGTTTTCAATATTTTTTTTTTATTAAAGAGTTTTATAAATTTTACAAAAAATAAGAAACAATACAAAAACAAAAAACAACATATACAAATAAAAAACAAACATTACCCAACAAAACCCCCCTTCCCCCACCCCTACCCAAACCCCCCTTCCCCCCCCAGGACCTCCCAGAGCAGAATATAGGCTTAATTAAAGAAAAAGTTAAAAAAAATTATAAAAAAAGAATATAAAATAGAATATATATATATATATATAAAGTTAAAAATTATGAAAAAACTATATAATATTTTTTATATCAAATTTAAATTGTATGAATTTTATCCATTTATCCCAAACAGCAAGAAATTTCTCTTGCGTTTGTCCCTTTAAGAAAGCCGAAATCTTTGCCATTTCCGCCAAATGAGACACTTTAAGAAACCATTCCTGCAATGTAGGCAAAGATTCCTTCTTCCAATATTGTCCTACTAACAGCCTCGCAGCTGTTATCAAGTTTAACATCAATATAACCTCCTTTGTGTCACAATCAGTAACTATACCTAAGAAAAATAATTGTGGAGTAAATTTTACCCTCCTTTTAAAAATTCTCTGGATATTCCACCATATCTTAATCCAGAATGCTTTTATCTCTCTGCACGACCACCAAATATGATAATAAGTAGCATCCATACAACCACATCTCCAACATTTAGGTTGTAAGTCAGGGTACATAAAAGACATTTTTTGTGGATCAAGGTGCCATCTATAAAACATTTTATAAAAATTCTCCCTTAAGTTCTGTGCTTGTGTAAATTTGACATTTCTCACCCAAATAATTTCCCAGGTGTCCAATGGAACTGGCTCACCAAAATTCTGCGCCCATCTAATCATACAATCTTTAATTAGTTCCGTTTCTGAATCCAATTCAACTAAAACCCCATAGATCCTCTTAATGTGGGTTTGTCTTTGATCCTTCACTTGCTTAATAAGATTTTCATCTTCTCTGTAAAAACCCACCTTACAGTCCATCTTCCATCTATCTAATAATTGCCTATATTGGAACCAAGAATAAATAATATTTTCTTGTGCTAACTCTTCCCGTAATTTTAACTGCCAGTTTTGTCCATCCCATTTAAGTAACTGTCTATAGGACACCATATCCATTTTAACCCCTCTTTTTATTCCTTCTATTGCATGCCAAGGTACGGCCCATAATGGTACTTTGAAATCACTTTTGTAATATTTTCTCCAAACCCTAAGTAAAGAAATTCTTAAGATATGAGATTTAAAAGCCCAATCCATTTTTTTATTAAATATTAAATAGGCATGCCACCCAAAAAGTAAATTCCATCCCTCTAAGTGAAGTATATCAGAATTTGTCAAATTTACCCAGTCACTAACTAATGTTAAAACCACCGCATCATAATATAATTTCAAATTCGGCACCTTGAGTCCTCCCCTCTCACGGAAATCTTGCATAATTTTAAATTTAACCCTTGGCTTTTTCCCTGCCCAAATAAATTTATTAAGGCCTTTCTGCCACTCAGTTAAATTGATCTCATTCTTCAAAATCGGTATCATTTGGAACAAAAAGAGAAACTTGGGTAGAATATTCATTTTTATCACTGCAATTCTTCCCATGAGGGATAATTGCAACTTTTCCCAATTCTTCAAGTCTCTCTGTACCCTAACCCACAACCTTTCATAATTATTTTTAAATAATTTTGCATTAGAAACAGATAGCATCACCCCCAAATATTTTACCTTATTAACAATTTCAAAACCCGTCAAGTTAACCAAAGTCTGCTTCTCCCGACTAGTCATATTTTTAGGTAAAATTTTTGTCTTATTAACATTAATCTTAAAACCCGAAACCAAACCATAATTATGAATCAGCTGTAATAATTTTACTACAGAATAAGTAGGTTGCGACAAAGTGATGACCAAGTCATCCGCAAAAGCTCTTAACTTATACTCTTTTTTATTAACTTCTATTCCTTTAATTTCCTGCGACTCTCGAATTTTGATCAACAGTATTTCCAGTGTTAAGACAAACAGCAACGGTGATAATGGGCAGCCCTGTCTAGTACCTTTCTCTATTGTAAAAACCTCTGACAAACCTCCATTAACGATAAGTTGTGCCGTTTGTTTTTGATATATTACCATAAGAGCTTGCAATATCTTTTCACCAAAATTCATCTCTTCCATTACTCTTAACATAAAATGCCAATTCAATTGATCAAAAGCTTTTTCAGCATCTAAAAATATCAGCCCTGCAGGAACTTGGTTGTTTTTATCTAAATATTCTAATAAATTAATAATTTGTCTGACATTATTTTTCATGTACCTTCCAGTTATGAACCATATAAGCCCAATTCAACCATCACATATCTCCCTTGGGGGTCAGACTCCACCAGACAAACTGGTAGATTTTGCTTGACATAAATAACAACTCCCCCCTTCTTCCCGGGAGCAGAAGATACGAAGTGAGATCCCAGACGGGCATTAACTAAATATTTCTGATCCTTAAGTAAAATATGAGTTTCCTGTAAGCAAATAACATCATTATTACGTTGCTTCAAATAATAAAAGATTTTTTTCCTTTTCTGAGGAGAATTCAATCCATTAACATTCCAGGTCAAAAACTTTGCCATCTCCCTTGGCCCGCAGCCTGGAGAAGACACCTTGGAGATCTGAAATTGCAACATGTGTTGCATGACTCTTGGGTCTTGCTCCTCCCACCGGCGGTGATACATTTCCAGGAGAAATCTCTTTGGCCTCTTTCTTACGTTGCTCCTTCTCTTTACGTTTATAAGCTGCACGAGTCATTCTCTGCTCTTTAACCTCCGTCTGGCGTTGCCATTCAGCTTGCAGCATCCCAGCAGAAACCGAACTTAATGCCTCAGACTGCTGCTCCGCCTCTTTGCCACTCAGGGATTTCTGAACAGGTAAAATTGAGCCTGCACCTAGGACTGAAGTATAGAATTCTCTAGCTTTATCAACCGTATTCAATCTATAACGTGTCCCCGCATGGCTCAGAACAATACCCATCGGGATTTCCCATCTAAATGGTATCGATCTAGCTTTAAGCTCATTAGCTAAGAAAGCAAAATCTTTCCTGCTTCTTAAAATTTTTGATGGGATTTCCTTTAGTATAATGACATCTTGGGCAGCTATCTGAAATCTTTTATTATAAAAGGCTTGTATGATCTCATTACGCAGAGACTTCTTCGTAAAATAAATCACCACATCTCTAGGCAAATTCTTCTGCTTAGCAATCCAAGAGTTAAGCCTGTACACTTTTTCAACTTCTCTGCGTAATTCTTCTTTGTCCATGTCCAAAACCACAGCCAAATCAGTAAGAACCACCTCCATCAGATCTTGATTCATATCTTCCTTGAGGCCTCTAATCCTCAAAGCATATTCCATCTGCCTGTACTGAAACATCAAAATATCTTCTTGTGAAGTCTCCACCTTCCTTTCCACATCTTGAATTTTATCATCAAAGGAATCAACTTTATCTTCAACTTCCTCGAGTCTTACATTCAGCTTAACCACCACTGTAGCCAAACCTGAGACTGCTGCAAGTATATCTTGTCGCAAAATATTATTGTTCTTTTCCAATTGATCCTTCATCCCACTTATCTCTTCTTTGAAGTCAGATTTAATTTCTGATTTAAGCTGTGTAGAAAGTTGCTTCATTTCCTCTCTCATTTGAGCTACAGCCTCTCCCATTATACCTCTAGCCTCTTGTGCTGAAAGTCCAGGCAAAGGAGGGGAGGGTGGTGGCTGTGCCGGTGGTGCATGTTTAAGTTGTTGTTGTGGTTGTGCAGTAGAAGCTATAGGAGAGGAAATCACCTTGGATATTGTAGAAGGCAGCTGTCTCTTTGAAGCCATTTTAAATAACACAGTTCTCACTTCCCTTTCCCCCCCCCCCAAAAAAAAATGAGGGGGAAAGAGAGAAAAATTTTACTTTTAAAAGAGGCAGCAAAAACACTATAATCCTTGAAAATCCAGAGAAAAAAAACCAAAAAGAAAAAGAAAATCAAAAAAGAGGATTCAATACCAAAAGCAAAAGTAAAGTCCAGTCCTTAACAGGAGAAAGTGAAACAGGAGAAAGTGAAACAAAAGACAAGGAAAAAAAACTCCGTCACTTTCAAAACGCCATCTTAATTCCTTCTCCACAATAATAATAAAAAAAAAGGAGAAATAGTCAGAACTAAATAAAAAAAAATACCTAAATTATATAAAAAAAAATCCTTTAAACTGCTCTGTCCGTTTTTTAGGAATTACTCACCAACTCTCTATAAGCACGGAGATAGAAGCGGCAGTTTCTTTTGCTTCCTAGGAAGCAAAAACAGCTGGGAGGCGGAGACAGCAAGAGCTCCGAGGGAACACTCCTTTCACCCCCTCTAGGATTAAATCCAGAGAGGGTTCAGGGGTTCTACCTCTACTCTTGCACTCTCTGTCCCTTCCCTTTGCCCGGGAAGGGAGTTCCGAGCCGCGGACCAGCTGATGCACGCTGTGCTCCGCGGCTCTGACACTTTTCCAGCTGGACGGCTAAAAGATAGCCGCCATCGCTGTCGCTCCGTACCGGAAGTCCCCTGTGTTTTCAATATTATTACAATTAATAGTTGCATCTAAAGTGTCCACTAAACAGAGGGATGGTCTTCATTTAACATGTGGCCTTATTCCTATAAGAAGCTAATATAATTTGAAATGTTCTTCATGGTTTATAGAGGCATATTTGCTGGTTAGATGACTTGGTAATTAGAAATATCAATTGTTAGCAGGAATTTCCATTTACTGTATCCTTGGGACCTATTCTATTTTCAGAATCTGGCTTCAAATTCAAAGTATGTTCTGTAGTTTGGTCTGAGCTCAGGTTCTTTAAGAAAGGTATTGCTAATTTAGCAGGCATAGACTTAAATTTGTAAAATATATGTATTTTGACTGAATATTCTGATGCATTCATTTTGCATACTCTGCATATTGAACATTTTTTGTTTGCATTTTTACAATATTGAATATCTCTTTCTGAAAAAAGTAGATAGGACCAAGTAAAATTTAGTGTGGCTCAAAGTTTGGTTGGAAATTTTGGTAGGAATTGATTACGGACAGTCAAGTTGACTATGCTCACTGACTCTTCTTAAAAGTGCTTTTGTAAACGGATTGAATTGTAACAAATTTACAAATAAAAAAAGTTAATTATTAGTACAAGGTAGTTTGTTTAAACGTAAAGAAAACCAGTTAACTTTTCCCTTCAAAATATATTTTGGAAAATCTCTTTAAAATATTTGTAATTTCTTCTAAAATATTTGTAATTTCCCCAACATAGAAAACATATTTTTATGTAGTAGGTAATATAAAAGATTATTGGCATCTTATTGACCATTTCTTGCTTCTGCTCTGGCAGAATCCCCAAGCTTTGAGAGCTGCCCAGCAACTGAAGTAAGAAGAACATTTGGAACAAGTGCCAATGGTCAGTGGAAGAGTTGCAGCTCCCCTCTTGGCTCTGTTTCACAGAAGCCCAGAGTAAGTCGCAGTGTATATTTTGAAACACGCAAAAATCCAAGGTACATAAAATTTTCTCATTTTTTTTTTGTTAACACCTTAATTCTATTTGTTACAAGTTTTGTAATCTTTTAAGAATTATATGAAACATTCTGAACTGTAACAAAGCTTAGATATGCGGTTGCTTAGGAAATAAATGCTAGCAGTCCTCACCCATGGTAATTGGGACCGGGAACTCTGTTGCTAAGCGATACAGTCATAAGGTGCGATGTCACATGACCACATCAACTTACAATAACAGTTTCAGCATTCACGGCTGTTGTCTTTAGATGAATCCTATGTGATTGCACCATCTTGCAGTCATGTGATTGCCATTTGTGACCTGTCAGCTTCCCTGTTGACTTTGCTTGTCAGAAGGCAGCAACGAAGATCACAAATGACAGTCGTGATTGCTGGACACTGCATTGTAATTGCAAGCCACTTGCCAAGTGCCTGAATTTGATCATGTGACTTTGAGGACAGTGTAACAGCCATGAGGGGTACAGTGCTGATACAGTGCTGTCATTTTGAACAATCACTGAACAAGTGGACATTAAAAAAGACTACCTATAATAGTTTTAATGTACTAATTGGAGAAGGGAATGTCCCTTATTCATAGTCATCTGAGAAATAGAGAATATATCACCCTGGTTCTTTGTGTCATTTGGTAATTTCGATGCAACAGACTTCACATGAAACATCTGTACTTTTTGCCAATTAAAGTCATTGAGACAGGCTTTGATTAGCATAGAATATTGGTCTGTTTCATTTGAAGTCCACTGTACTGAAGTACAGTAATTTGAAATTGAGCTGTACAGGTGGTCCTTCATTTACAACAATTTGTTTAGTGGCCAGTTACAGTGGCACCAAAAAAGTGATTTATGACATGATTTATGACCAGTTTTCACATCTATGATCATGTGATCGGTATTTGGGCACTTGGCAACTGATGTATATTTATGAGAGTTGCACTGTCCAGGAGTCATCATTTGTAACCTTCTTGGCTGACTTCCAACAAATAAAGTCAGTGGGAGAAGTCAGATTCACTTAACAACCACATGAGTCACTTAACAATCAAGATGATTCACTTAACAGTGGTGGCAAAAAGGTTATAAAATGGGATGATTCACTTAACAACTGCCTTGCTTACCAATGGAAATTTTGGGCTCAATTGTCATAATTTGTGGACTATCTGTATAGATATAAAAGCAGCTGCAAATACCTTAAATCAGTGTTTCTCAACCTTGACAATTTTAAGGCATTCTGGGTTCATTATGAATTTTTTTCACCATATTATATATTTAAATTGTCTTTTTTAAAGAGAATAATCATGGTTTGTTAGAGTTGCTATTTGAGTTTTTCTAGAATGCAAAAAACCATATTTAAATCTTGAATGTCTTTATAAGCCTAGCTAAAAAGAGTTATCATTTTTTCTGCAGTATGGCGGCAAATTCCTTTGTAGGAAAATCAAACCACCACAGTCACATTTCTACCTATGAAAAAGCCTTTCCAATTAAGTCCGTTGCTAATCCATCATGTCGTCGGAGCTTACTAAGTCCCAAGAAGTCTCAGAGAAGATTCGTCAGTACTGTAGAAGAGGTAGGTGAAAAAGGAAAATAAATAAATTGAATCTGCTTTGGTGGAGGAAGACACACACATACACACTCTCTAACACAAGATAGATCTGGAATATAAATATACAGATGTGTGAAATACAGGTGTTCATAGACTAACCACCCATAAGCCAAATTCCTATTCTCTATGGAATGCCATATGCTAAATAAATAAATGCATTTCTGTGGAATCATTCTTATTTATGGACAAGACTTTTTGTCTGTACTCTCACATCAGTGAGATCATTTTCAATCCTGATGATGCTTCTTTTAGGATTTTAATTTATTCTGCATATTAGATAAACTTATTTTGTCAGTGATAAATTACTTTAAATCACTTTTGCATCCTATAAAATATTGTGTTTCTGGTAATGTATGGGATTTTTTTTTCTCCCCAGATAGTTCGGGAAGAAGAGAAAGAAATATACAGGCAGTTGATTCAAATGGTTACAGGGAAAAATCTGTCAGCTTCCAAAGCCTCTTCATTATTGTCTCTTCATCTGTGAGTCTCTGAAATATATTGATTAATCTGATTGTCTACAAGTTTGTTTCCAAAATTTCTGGCCTTTTGCTTTTGTTTTCAGGCCCAGGTGTGCAGATTCCAATAAAAAAAATGTGAAAGAAACTGAAAACAAACGTATGAAACCTTTTGATGTTTGTGGCCCCTCTCTGGGCAACCAGTCATCCAGTCTTCTCAGGATACAGGAGCAGCATTCTCACAAACCACTGCCACAACCAGTTTGTAATTTTACTTCCCCTGTTAACTTTGATCTCAAGACCAGTACACCCATACAACAAACTAATCTAGTAGCATTGGATGTGCAGACTGAAGGTAAAAACAACGGATATACATTGAAATATTATGGATTTTATTTCGTGACCACAAATTCTTGAATTATTTTCTCTAGACCATCTGCACTCTTAATTCTCAGATGCAGGTTTGTTGTTTCTCCCAGCCTGGTACCTAAATTAACTGAATAAATCTGAATTCAGTCACAGTATGGATTCTGTTCTGGAGAAGATTATTAGTACAGAGTAATGCTAAATCTTGCACCCTGTTTTGTTTGATCTAGGATGTGATTCAGTCATAATGTTAAATGGCAAAGACTTCAGATCTCCAGCTCCAAGGCAAGTGGGCTTTCAGATTTGTAGAAACTACAATTTATTGTTTTGAGGGAAGTAGCCAAAAAAAAAAAAAAAAATCGGTGAAGTAAATTTGTTGAGCTTAGACTGCCAGAATAATTAGAACAAATTTATTAATGCTTCATTAATTTGAGAGGGAGTTTAGCGTTATTTCTGATGTTGGGATTGTCCATTTGGCCTTGGTTTACTTTGAATAAAACATTTTATGCATTAGTAATTAGTACAAATTTTGTAGTTTTGTGTAATAAACCTTGAAAGTTTTTTCCACCCTCTAGACTATTAGAAAGTACCTCAGACTTTTTTTCAAATTTTCACTGCTTTTCAACTCTGCTGCTGTTTCAGAGTTTTTCTGTAGTCCGTTTGCAGTACCATTTACTGAAGCACTCTGTTTCCCTGGATTTTTTTTGGATATATAGTATCATTTAAGCAGAAAGTGTGACCTTTTCCCAAGTTGACTCTGATAAACTTCTGAAATTGATAGAATTTGCTAGTAAATTTTTGGTAGAAACTTTTGTTTGGTTGCCAAGTGCACATTTGGACTTAATTATTTACTGCTCTTGATATTCTCTTCTGCCTTAGCAGCACAATTGGAATTTACCTTTAATAACTTGCTTGTTTTTTTTTTTCCTGGAAGAAACATTAATCCTTTTTATTTTCTGCTTCCCTTTTAGTATACCTTTCTTTGAAGCTGAATTGTGGATAAAAGAATTGTAAGAATTTCTAAGAATTTCTAAATCCCTTTCTTAAAGCTAAATTTGCCTTCTTGATTTGACAAGCAATATATATATTGTTTCCTTTTCCAGTACCGTAAAGAAGCTCTAGACAGTCTGAATTCCTATTGCTAATAAGGGCAGAGTACTTTATGTTAAGTTCACATGTCTTTGTTGTATCTTACATAGGATCATGTAGGATAGAATATTTGAGAGACTAAAGCAGTGTTTCTCAACCTTGACAATTTTAAGGCATGTGGACTTCAACTCCCAGAATTCCACAGCCAGCAATGGAACTTTAAGTTCACATGCTTTAAAGTTGTCAAGGTTGAGAAACACTGGACTAAAGGATATGGAACTTTAACTTATTAATTTGTGGTCTCAAGACTGAAAATATTTTATAGAAATCACTGAGAAATCTCTGAGGGAGAGGGGCAGTTAAGAAGTGCAGAAAATGAATGAATGAATGAATGAATAAACAGACAAACAAATAATAAAAGTACCAGTGAAATCACTGTTTTGATTAGATACCAGTATTGGAGAGCTTCTAGGAGTAAATACAAATCTTTTAAAGTTTTAAAATAGAAAAATAAGTATTCAAATTCCAGCACTAAATCTTAGTCTGTACTATTAGATCCTTTCTTACAGATCTTTCAGTTAAATGTGGGTAATATTTGGAAGATAGGTGCCATAATTCGCCCTTCTGATTTTCTGAAGAACTGGAGTGATGCTATGATATTACTAGAATGAGTGCATTCATTTTTTTTGCTATTTACTTTTCAGGGGGCTAGGATGTTACCTTAAACCTGCCCCCACATGGTCTCAATCTGACTATTTGCTACTGCATGTTATCGTTTGATCTAGGAATTACCACTGAAATGCAATTGAAGTCCCAATGTGCAATATGCAAGCTGCAAGCTGCCTATCTTGAATTAAAGGCATGTGTGAGTGTCCAGCAGGATTAGAACTAGATCAGCAGATGTGACACTTTCACCCAGCATTTCCCATCTTATATCTCAAACCAGCCTTCCCATAAGGAAGGAGCAGGAGCTGAAAGTAATAATAGGCATAACTAAAAGTGTGCAAAAAGGAATTTTCATGGCTGGTGATTCTGAATATTCAGTTTGTTATGTCAAAACTTCAATCTAGAACCAGTGTATATGACTCCCGAGCCCGTGAGAGATTGCGACATATAGAGGAGCAGAAAGCCTTGGCATTGCACTTACAGAATCAGGTGAGATAACTCAACATGGTTATTGTTTTTAAAGGCTCATCCAGGTGCCTTCTATCTTTGCTAGGAATGATAATAATTGATGCAGCTGAATACATAGTTTTCCTTAATATTGCTATTTGAGTCCCTTTACCTTTAATGCATGCTAGATGACCCATGTCCTGTTTGGCCATTGTTTCAAAGGTATTTACTTCCCTAAATAGAATAATAGAATGACCACAGATAACCAAAAAAAGCAGTAGAAACAACATCTGACTTCCTGCTGGCTTCTCCATTGACTTTGCTTGTGGGGAGCTGGCAGGGAGTGTCAAAAATCACCACAATGGCACTGCAGGGCAGCATATCAGTGTTGTTGCAGTGACTGTAAGTTTCCCAATATAGCTGGTCTGAAGATCCTTGAAATTTCAATCCCACAGGAGTGATGGGTCCCACATTTTGGACGTATTCTTTAAGTTGACCTGTTTGAGGTACTTTGAATCAAAAATTGTTGCCTTATAGTGCACCTTTTCACCCAGTTGAAGGTTATAGACAAATAGGTTTATACGTTGAATTGGAAACTGATAAGCTAGATATCAGCAAGCTTGATCATATTTATGAACAGTCACTAGATTTTCCTGTTGTTGATATGGGCTTTAACTTTATATAATCGTAATTCTATATAGGTTTGATGACTGCATCCTTCTGTACATACATTAATGTAAGAAATCCAGATAATGGGGGTGGGCAACTTGATGAAATTCCTGTCCACAGACATCTGGGATTGACGACTTGATATAATGTTAAGTGTCACTATTTTAATGATATTCTTTTTAGAGACTGCAGAAAGAGACCTCAGTACCTGAGTCAATAAATTTACATCTTCGAGTTCCTCTTGAAAAGGAAATTCCTGTTACCATTGTTCCAGAAGATAATAAGATAGTGGAAAGTGAAGATGAATTTCCTGAAATTACAGAGGTTAGCTTTTACATTAATGGTAAAAATCTTGATGCCTTGGTGAAATAAGTACCTGGATAGTAGTTTATAGAAGTGAATAACTCTTTTATCAGAGTTGTTCTCAAACTGTGTCTCTTCGTAACACATCTCTGTGATAGCATGCTCTGTAGTGTTTTGAAGTTCTCTATTTCATCAAAAGCTAGATTGGGGAGGGGGTGTATTTTAGCCTAACTTGATATTTCTAGTAGTTTTGTTTCCTGTTATCTGCATTTCTTTAGTGGGAAAAAAAACTTAATTTCAAACCCTTCTTTTTTTAAGTGCAACATTAAAATATATAGGAGATAATCAAAACATTTCCAGATTTTTCCAAGAGAAACCTGTTTGTAAAACATAATTACGTGAAAACTTTTTCAATATATAATTTTCCTGATCCATAGCCTCCCCCTCCGAAACTTTGAATATGTCCGACCTGCATTACTCCTTTTTGTGTTCTCACTCTGCATTTTGGGTCTATCATTCGTAATGAAGTTTTTACTTAGGAGTCTGATTTTTCAGCTTGGATTAAAAACCTCTGTGAAACCCAATTCTCTTTCCTATTAACTATTTATAGGAAATGGAGAAAGAAATAAAAAATGTATTACGAAGTGGAAACCAGGATGAAGTGTTGAGTGAAGCCTTCCGATTAACCATCACTCGGAAAGACATTCTGACTCTTAAGCACCTCAACTGGCTCAATGATGAGGTAAATCTTCAGTCTCTGTTTCAAACCTAATTTTTAAACTCATGAATCTGAGTTGTAAAGGCTCTTTGAGTTCAACTTCTACAGGTATCCAGAAGGGCTGCTGTCTAGCCATCATTAAAATACATTCATCACTGCTCTGGATAATTGGCTCTACTATTTAACTGCTCTATTCATACTGTTGGAATTTTCCCCTTAACATTCAGTTGAAATCTGCTTTTTTAAAATAACTTACATTCATTATTCTTTGTTATGTAGTCTAGTGAGATTTCTTAAGTTATGCTCATTTGTTCAGTGACCATTTGAAATTACAACGACACTGAATGAATTGGGTACTTGCCCAATCTGCAAAGTTATGACAATTGCAGTTCCTGTTCAATCACATGATCAAAATATGGATGCTTGGCAGCCCGCCCATACTTAAGACAGCAGAGATTCTTCAACTTTTCCCATCTTTTGTCTCCCCTCTCCATCTCTGTCCTTTGGCCCCCTGTACTCCGCAGTTGCTATCCTCCTGTGTTCAATCATCCCCGGATGACCGTTGTCATCTTCTTGCTCCCATTGCTAGTCAAATAATCCTGGCTTGATCCTTCAAGAGTCCTTCTTGAAATCATACATGTTTTCTTCATGAGACTTTAGGAAGAAGACCTTGTGTGACACCAGCTCTCTTGTGAAGGGCCAGGTTGGGTACATTTCAGCAATAAAATTTCTTTACCTAAAAAGAAAAACACAATGACCAAAGGCAGGCAAAAAAAAAAAGCAGCCATTGGTGAAGCAGCAGCTTCTGGCTTCTCCATTGAATTTCCTTATGTTAATATGGCAGGGAGCATTGGAATCTTCCTTCTTTCCTTCCCCTTCCCTGCAGGCAAGTAAATGGCTGCTGATGGGTGGGGAAGAGAGAGAGGGATTGTGAGACTGGCTGGGAAACTCTTAGCATAGGTCAGACATGTCAAACACAAGGCCCGGGGGCCAGATGCAGCCCGCGAAGTGGTTTCATGTGGCCTGCGAAGCCATCCTGGAAACAGTGAGGGAATGGCCCCCACTGCCTTGGCCCTGGCCCAGGCCAGCCGGTAGCCAATGTACAATTTTGTGGTGGCCCTCTATGCTGAAACACATTTAGTCTTAGTTCCATAAGCTCCTCCTCCGCATGGCCTGAGAGGAACACTGAGGCTCCTCCAGTGGACCATGCCTTGGCACTTACCCCGGTCCCACCCCCCTTTTGCCAGAGACCCTCAGATCTATCCCACTCCTGCCGAGGCCCCCACAGGCACCCTTGACATGGACGATATAGAGCTGGCCACACTCACCCAGTAGGCCACACCCACTCCATCCATGCCCACCCAGTAGGCCACACCCACCCGGCCCCCTGAGGGCAACTGCAACCTGGCATAGGTGAAAATGAAGATCACATGACACAGCAACAACACAGCAGCAGTCAGTAGCACTGAAGCACCTACAACTTTCTCAGATTTAATTACTTTAGGAATCATGGGCCATGGATTTGGGATGCATTCTGTAAGTTACTGTCCAAAGGTACTTGGTTCAAAAATTGTTGCTCTATGATGCACTGTTTCATCCAGGTCATAACATGAGAGTTTTAGTGGTATATACCTGTAGATGTTTTTTAGGAATAGAGAAGAAATGTCTTAGAAAAAACATCAAATACTAACATGTATTTCTCTCACACACAGATTATTAATTTCTACATGAATATGCTGATGGAGAGGAGTAAACAAAAAGGCTTTCCAACTGTTCATGCATTTAACACATTTTTCTTCACCAAGTTAAAAACTGCTGGGTATCCAGCTGTAAAACGTTGGACTAAAAAAGTAGATATATTTTCTGTGGACATTTTATTGGTTCCTATTCACCTTGGTGTCCATTGGTGCCTAGCAGTGAGTATATTATGCATATATATGTAAATGTTCACGTGAATTCACATCAGCTCTTTCAAATGTTCCTTGCTTGTCTGAATGCATTCTAAATTCATTCTTTGTGATGGCTTTTCATTTTGGCATTTTTACATTCCCAAATGCTTGCTTCTGAAACACTTTTCCATTCTGTTTCCTGCATTATCTCACATGTGTCAAAAGTACATACTTCTGAGTAAGATTATGCCAATGTCTTGATACAAAATTTTTGCCTTGTTTAGGTTACTGACTTCAGGAAAAAAACCATCACCTACTACGATTCAATGGGTGGATCCAACAGTGAAGCTTGTAAGATACTCTTGTGAGTATCTCTTTTACATTAAATAGGTTCATGTTTCCGTCATGATCTTAGCATTGAAAGAAACAATCTTCATGCCAAGTGATTGTTGCTGCTATAACACTTGGGAATACTGAACTTTCATGGTATTTTCCAAAGTGACAGCTAAAAGCACAGGTTCTTCTGTAACATGAAAGGTAGATAGTACCCCCTGTAAAATCAATTCAAACAAATCTGATAAATTCTTTCTGGGAGGCTTCCTGTTAAACCTGAGCCTCTTGGCCCTTTAGAATATATTAAAAAAGAGTCTAGGGTATGAATCTCCAAGGGCTGTGCTCTTTTATATTGTGATTGCAATCTTAAGTGTACTATATTTTCATTAAAAAGTTCAGGAGGTTATATAAGAGTTATTTGAGAGTAGAAAAATGAAAGAAATGTAACATACAAGGCAATTATAAAAAGAGATCATATTTGATAATAAGGCCCTTAAGAATACAGAATAAAGAGTTGGAAGGGACCCTGGAGGTTTTCTAATCCAACCCCCTGCTTAAGCAGGAGACCCTATACCATTCTGAACAAATGGCTGTTTCAAGATAGCAATCTCTTAAAAATCTTCAGTGATGGAGTATCTACAAGTTCTGCAGGCAAGCTGTTCCACTGCTTAATTGTTCTTCTGTCAGGAAATTTATTGTTAGTTCTAGGTTGGATCACTCCTTGATCATCTTGCCCTGATTTTGGGGATAGGCTCTTGTATCTGAACAAAATGGCAGATTTGAACTTTGAGAGCAACATTCAGATTAATCCACTCTTAAATGGCTTTTCCATTTGGAAAGTGTATTGATCACTTCACAGTTTTGGGCAGAAACATTGTAATGCAGAATTAAAAGATGAACACATCAAATAATGTTGCTCGAGCATGAAGCTTTGAGTCAAGAAAACTGCATCAAACCTGATCCATTGTCTCTTCGCTGATATTAGCAAGTTAGCGACAAATTTTGATTTTAAAGACAAAAACATTGATTTATTGTATTTTTGTTTGATTTTTCAGTTTTTGTAAATTACCTGAAAATTACATTACAAAGAATACTTTATTAATAGTTCAAAGAATTTATTGTTTAAATTATTTATTAGAACATAGAAGATTGAATAATAGAGTTGGAAGGGACCTTGGAGGTCTTCTAGACCAATGGTCCCCAACATTTGTGGCTTGAGGAGCTAGCTGGCTTTCATGTGTACGTGTGTGCAGCTCAACTTGTGCAAGCAGTGGGCCGATGCACATGCACACACAGCTCAACTTCATGCAAGTTGAGCTGTGCACCCATGTCCATGCACACGGGCCCGCCACTCTTGCAAATTGAGCTGTGTGTGTGCTCATGCGCGCCAGCCCGCCACTTGGCATGGCCCAGTTGCAGATAGTCCAACCCCCTGCTTGAGTAGGAGACTTTATACCATTTCAGATAAATGATTGTCCAGTCTCTTTTTGAAAGCCTCAGCTGATAGAGCAACCACAACTTCTGGATGCAAAAGTTTGTTTTGCCTTCAGAAGTTCAAAATATTGTTTCAGTGAAGCATTTCAAGGTCCTCTGTGTCAGTTATTAGGTGAATACATTCTCCCAAAAGAGTGTTTTTTGCTAGAAACCTATCAAAGAATGATGTGGGTTGCAATTACATGACCATAGGACACTGCAACTGGTTGTAAGTTATGCTAGTTGCCAAGGGCCCAAAATGTGGTCATGTGACCATGGGGCCAATGACATTTTACAATGATCAGAAGTGCTTTACCATCCATAGCGCCCCTGTTCCAAGGCCTTCGTAACTCCAAGGGCACCAAAGGACCAGCTATAAGTTACCAAGCAGCACAGTACAGTAGTCCGCCACCACAATTGAGCCCAAAATTTCCATCACTAAGCAAGGTAGTTGTTTAGTTAGTTTTGTCCCATTTTACAACCTTTATGCCATGGTTGTTAGGCAAATCACTGCAGTTATTAAGTGAATTGTGTCTGTTGAATGAATCTGCCCCCCCCCTTTGACTGGGAAAGTTAAAAATGGTGATCACATGATCTTGGGACAGTGCAACTGTCATAAATATATGACAGTTGCCAAGTGCCTGAATTTTGATCACCTGACCAAAGGGGATGCTGCAGTGGTCATGAGTGTGAAAACTGGTAATAAGTCACTTTTTACAGTGCCATTGTAACTTTGAATAGTCACTAAACAAATGGTTGTAAGTCGACGGCTACCTATAATGTTAAGTTAATGTTAATCCATGGGTTGTCCTTCATCTGCAGGAACACATGTAATCATTAAAGTGTGTCAGTGAAGGCCACAGTATCCCTGATATCCAAAGCAGCCTGATATGAGACTTACAATGTTTCCTGAAATGAATGCCTTGCCACTATATTCAAGCAACTTGTAGTTTGGGCATTATGGTAACGTGTTTTCTGTGAGGCACTTCCTGAGAGGAGATTCCATCCTGTAGCTAGACTTCTCATAAAACCTTTGCTAAAGGCTATTAAGACATTTTCCAGGTGGCATTGATTAATAAGTTTGTGGGTTGCAAGTTGTTTGAGGAACTACTTGTTTTTCTTATGTACCTATGCGATCTTGATATTCTGCTGAGGATGCCCTGCTAAATATATCAAGACTATCTGATGTTCATGTAGCTATGAAGCGCAGCCTACATTCTCTTGTAAAAGCATCCATTAAATGAACACCTTACTGATGGAAATTAAGCCTCCCTTCGTTGTGGATGCTTTTCACCAAAAATTAGAACTTGTTTGCTCTTCCTTTCTCTTGGTTTTGTTTGACATTTTTAAATTAGTGGTCTTGATTACATAGTCTGTGAATATTAGTCTGATGAATTTATCATTTCTACAATTATTGTACTTAAAAAAGGATATACATAAGAAAGTATTAATGCTGCAAAATAAAATTAGTTAAGAAAATGAAAGAAACATAGCAATTAACGTTAAGTCTGCAGGTTCCATAAATCAAAATGACATAAGAAAAGCTTTGCTAGGATTAGCGCCACAGGGAATATATCTTGCTGGAATTTAATCAAATATTTTTCAACTTAGCATACTGAATGTAATGGAAGTTACATTCTTAGAAATCTACTTATTTGCATTTAATATCCAGGGAAAAATGTTTTCTGAACCTTGGATCGATCTATAGTATAGAAAATTTGGAAACCATTCACCTTTATTCCTTTAAAGCAGTGGTTCTCAACCTTTTTAATGCCACGACCCCCAACTGGTCGTAAGTCGAGGACTACTCAACCGGTCGTAAGTCGAGGACTGCTCAAATGGTGCAGCACCATTTGCAGAATGGGACTTTTGGCGGGCTCAGCAGGGCAGAGACAGCCTGGACAATTCCTATTGGCTTTTGAAAGCCAATAGAATTAGACTCTATTCAAGAGAGTCTATTCTATTGGCTTTCAAAAGCCAATAGAATAAAAGGGAGTAGCACAGCTAAGGAAAAGGGGGAAAAAATGGCGGACTGCGTTGTTTGGCGACCCCCGTGAAATGGTCGTTCGACCCCAAATGGGGTCCCGACCCACAGGTTGAGAACCGCTGCTTTAAAGCATTTCTACTCTTCCAACTGTATGAAGGAAGTTAAAAAGACAAGAACAAACATATAAATATGTCCCACCAGCTTCAAAAAGCAGGGAAATATTTTTACAAGTGACCAGGGTGGGCTGGAGGTGGGACCTTCTTGTTCCAGTAATTAGCAAGTTCTACCACAGTTGCTGCACCTGTGGAACCAATACGGGTATCTCAGGCATTTTGTCAGGGCAGGCAGTGGTATCTGCAAGCTGCTATAGTCTATTGTTCTTGACAAAATTTAAACAAAGCCCAGAAACTACTCATGAAGCTTAGTGAAATACTCCTTGGGATTGGTGATAGAAAAATACTCCATAGGAAGGAAGTATTTTTTAAAAAAGAAAATACTTGAAAATTGGTGATTCTTCCTCTCTCTTACACCAATGGATTGTTTTATCAGTACATTACAGGTAGTCCTGTTTAGCAACCTTGATTGGGATCCACAATGTGGTTGTTAAGTGACAAATTGCATGACCATGACTGCTTGCAATTTTACTTCAGCTTTCCTTTTCTTGTCAGAAAGATACAACCCTAAAAGCTGTTAGGGGTTTTCAAACTTGGCCCTTTTATGACTTGGGGACTTTAACTCCACAAGTCCACAAATTGAAGTTCACAAGTCATAAAAGGGCCAAGTTTGAAGACCCCTGAGCTGGGTGAACAAAAATGGTGGGAAAACTTTCTAGAATTTGACTCAAAAGAAAGTGGGGTAAAAGGGCAAATCTTATAGCTTTCTCCCATTCCCCCACCTTTTGGAGTATTTACCCCAGTACTGGAATAATTAGGAAGAAGAGAATTAATGTTTGTATTTACATTAATTGAAGAGGAACAATTGCAAGAGAATAAGAAGGCACACAAAATGGAGGATACATTTTGAAAGGAATGCACTAGTGCCAGCTATTTGCCAGCTACCAGCCAAGAGCTGTTTAGGAAGCGAGCAAACTAGAAGATGTGAAGCTGGATAAAGTCTTGTCAGTTTTTCAGGAGGCTAATTAAGGTCACAGAGTTGGGCTTATTAAGGAAGGACTTTTGGGGGATGTGCTGTGCTATGCTGGGGGGGGGGAAGCTGCTCAGGAAGAGATTTCTTTTCTTAAGCAATCTCTGCTGGGGATAGAATAAACAAAATGGATCAGGGACAGGACAGCACGCATTCACTTATTGTAATGGGAACACTTGTAAGACAGGCTGCAAAGATTGTATATGTGGACATTAGTTATGAAGTTACTTTTTCATTACAACTAGGAATGGTCATTGCCTGAGGCAATTAGCAATTAGAATGCAGGCAGTGGTAAAATGTTATGGTAAAGTGAAAGAGATAATTTACTATACATACATACATACATACATACATACATACATATATTTGTTTTCTGAGGTTTTCGCGGGTGTTTGTATGTAGGTCTTTGGTTGTTCGGGTTTTCTCCCACGTAAAATTGGAAGTGTCTTGGCGACGTTTCAACAAAGTCCCATTCGTCATCTTCAGACTGGTGTTTTCAGCTTCGTTTTCAGCTCCTCGAAGCACGAAGCTGAAAACACCAGCCTGAAGATGACGAATGGGACTTTGTTGAAACGTCGCCAAGACACTTCCAATTTTACGCGGGAGAAAACCCGAACAACCAAAGACAGAGAGACACACAAACACACACACACACACACACACACACACACACACACACATATGTTTTCTGAGGTTTTATTTTTATATATATATATATATATATGTTCAACATATATATATATGTTCAACATATATATATATGTTCAACATATATATATATATGTTCAATGATGCAATCTTCGATCTCCGGGAAGAGTATACTCCAGTTATTTATTGTTAAAACAACATTTAAAAACAATAAAAACAGTTATATACAAGGTTAAAAAACAGCTTTCGCTGGTCCTCTGCCAGCGTCTTCAGAGTGGGTAGAGAGGAGGGATTGAGGAGTGTGTTGGTGATAACAGCGCAGGGAGGGGGAGACGGCACAAGGATGACAGAGCAGAAAAATACAATGTTAGAGTGCAAAAAATAGAGGGCGGAACAGTTAAGGCAGTTACAGGCAATCAGGAAGAGTGGCCCTGTCACGAGGGCAATGAGTAGGCAGTTGGATCAGCAAGGGGATAAAAAGAACTTTCCCACCCCCTAAGCCCCACTCTGAGGACGCTAGCAGAGGACCAGCGAAAGCTAAGTTTTTAAACCTTGTATATAACTGTTTTTATTGTTTTTAAATGTTGTTTTAACAATAAATAACTGGAGTATACTCTTCCCGGAGATTGAAGATTGCATCATTGAACTATATATATATAGGAATTAGGTTTTTGTTGCTAAATAATTTGATAAATAATTTGATGGTTACCCTGAGAATAATGTTGTGGTTTTCTGCTATTTTAATCTTATTGGTAGTAAGAATGGGAAGACTTCAGTTTTGTCTAGATGATTAGTGGACATCTAGAATAATGCAATGGGAACTCAGCTTTTAGCTGATTGTTGCCCTTTCCATAACTGATTTTCCCTTTCTATTTCCTTTCAGGAGGCTTTAATTGGTTGAATGCAGTGGGAGGATCACACCGGGAACAGGGGACAGAGGTCCTATTCATGGTTAGTGACCCTTTCATGCTTTCAATCTTTAGAGCTTCCTGATTTTTGGTGAGTTTTGAATGATTTGTCTGTCCCTTTTTAGAAAGGGAAGAAATTTATAGTGTTATAAATCTGTGGTTTAATTATATAAATTGTATATCCTGTTTGAAAAATCACTTAAGGGAAACACACTAGTCCAATTTAGCACAATTGTCAGATTACGATTATTTAAGAATTTTAGATAGTTGGGATAGCTTAACTTTCTTCTTTCACCAAAGGCCCTACAAAGTTGATGATGAATACTTGATGAAGTGATGGAAGGATTATGCTTTTAGTTGATTGTATATTTTAGATCAGTGGTTCTCAACCTGTGGGTCGGGACCCCATTTGGGGTCAAACGACCATTTCACGGGGGTCGCCAAACAACGAAGTCCGCCATTTTTTCCCCCTTTTCCTTAGCTGTGCTACTCCCTTTTATTCTATTGGCTTTTGAAAGCCAATAGAATAGACTCTCTTGAATAGAGTCTAATTCTATTGGCTTTCAAAAGCCAATGGGAATTGTCCAGGCTGTCTCTGCCCTGCTGAGCCCGCCCATTCTGCAAACGGTGCTGCACCAGTTGAGTAGTCCTCGACTTACGGCCGGTTGAGTAGTCCTCGACTTACGACCGGTTGGGGGAGGTCACGGCATTAAAAAGGTTGAGAACCACTGTTTTAGATTGTAACAGTGGGGGGTGGCAGTTTACACGAAGGAAGTGGTTTGCCTTAAAGTACCAATGCATAATGCTTCAGAAGTAATGAAAAATGAAACATTCAAAAGATACTAATGTGTGTGAGACAGTTTAAGATGTAAGGTTAAAGAAAGTATCTGAAATGCTTTGGCACATGCACAGTAGTTTCTTGAACACCTGTGTAGTCCTTGTGTCCTTTGCATCCATCAGAAAATTCCCTTTTTTTGTAAGTGATAGGTAGTTGGTTCTAACGTTTGTTTGTTTTGACTAGAGTGATCATAGTTCAGTACAAATTAGGATATTCTTATGTAGTCATTGTTCATTGGTAGAAAGCAGCATTCTGGTCCATTTGAGTTTGGAAGCTAAGCAGGTTTCAACTTAATACTTGAATAGAAAATGACTAACAAATTCCTGGAATGTAGGTTAGCCTGAGTAAATAATATCAAGAACAATTTTTGAATCTATTCTTTTAATTTTTTTTACCCTAAATGATTTTCTTGAATATAGTCTTAATTGAAAAAAATTGCTGTTCACTTTCATTAAATCTGCCTATTTAGAAATATAAGCAGTTGAAGTTTCACTTTTTAAATCTTTCTATCCTATAAAGCTCCAGAAAGTATTGATGTTAGTGAGTGCTGGCAATTTTTTTTCAGCTTTCTTTTCAGTGTTTTTGTGTAGAATGGGAGTACTTTAATGCCTTTTGCTTTTTTTACACCTTGCATTTAAAAACAGACACAGTAGCATGATATAAGGTTATTTTGAGAATTGCAAAAATGAGTTTAGGGCCCTTAGCACCCCATCTCTATGTAAGAGGATAAGTTACCACAATGACTTGGTAACATATCTTTGTAAAAGCAGATGTTTTAATGAAAATATAGCAACAAGCAAGTCTTTCGTTCAGCAGGAGAAACTGTAATAAATTTCAACTTACCAATTGAGCCAAGAACAGATACTTGGGGGGAAATAATATACCATTACTTTTAACTTAATTCTTCATCGCTGAGTAATCAGGATGTTGCCATATGCTGGGCCGTTAGGACATTTCTTTCTGTGACAGTTAGTAAGGAATCATTAAAATGATAGGACCCCCTTAGCAAGCACCCTGGAAAGTACAAGCATGCTTTGTTTTAATATTTAGGATACCTGTGTCTGCTGTTCTGTGATAATTATCTCATTAGTTGCTGTTTAATCCAAATCTATATCAGGCAGAGAATGAAACCAAACTTTATGAGTTACTGCTTGAAGTAAAAAAAAAAAAATGCAGTTACCTTAAGCCAGATGCAAGATAGTACTTGCAGCAAAGACAAAATACAACCTTTGTGAACAAACCCCAAGAGTACTAGAAATTTCCATATAGAGATAATTGAAACAAATAGTAAATTGTTTATCCCTTGTCAAGACAAGAAAATCCTGAATGTGTGTATATAGCAGTACTACTGTATTAGGAGTCTTGTTGTTTGTAATGATTCAAAAAGATATACATCAGACTGTGCTTGAGTAAGAACATGATGATTTCTGCTGTTCATTAAAGCGAGCTTCAAAATGGGTGTTGTGTTTTTAGGGATTGCATGAACTTGGTGTGTTAATGATGTTTGATGCAGTGTGAGGATTTCTTTAAACAGTGGTGCTGTGGTGTGGAGACTATTCATTGAGTAATTGCTAGTGGACTTGCAGAAAACATTTCTTGAGTCACAGAGTATGCATGGTTTTAAAGTATATTGACTGCGTAAAAATAAGCAATAGAGCTGTATGCTTTTCTGCATTTTCCTCACTAAAAGTTTTAGTCAGTTTTAAAGCCTTGCCACGTATATAGTAACAGTTCTCACGTGACTTGGGATTCCGAGTAAAGCAGGTAGTAAAATTATTTGGGAATCCAGTATGCATGAAGTTATCAGACAAAGGCTAAATTTCCTGGTGACACTCAATTGGCCAGGGCTTTTCTGTCTGGGAATGGAAGAACAGAATAACACTCTCTTGCTGAGAGGAACAAGAGGTCAAACTCTCTTCTCATTCACCCTTTGATTTGTTGACCTGTTAACAGCTTTGATCATCCTGATATAACTGAACAGTTTTCCTAAGTAAAATTCTTAAAATGCAACATTCATTAAAAGCATTTCATAAGTTTTGTTGTGTGCTAAAAGGTTTGTGTTGTTTTCCAATCTCTGCAGGCAGTACTTAAAACAGGAAAGTCTGGATAAAAAGCGCAAGGAATTTGATACCAATGGCTGGATGCTCCTGTGTAAAAGAAGCCAGGTGTGTTGGTTTTATATGGCTGATTGTATAAGACTCTGAGTTGTTTGTATTATCAATCATAGCTTGTATGTACTTCCCTAGTTTAAGGTATCAGAGGTGGAAGCAGATGCAGATATTTAATATATGCACCTGAAGAAAATTATGAGAATAATATCAACAGGCATATAAAGGTAGATCTCGACTTACAACAGTTCATTTAGTGATCATTCAATGTTGTGACACTAAAAAAAGTGACTTATGACTTTTTCACATGACCATTGCAACTTCTCCAATGGTCATATGATCAAAATTCAGATGCTCGGCAACTGGTTCATATTTCTGATGACTGCAGTGTCCTAGGGTCATGTTGATCAGCTTTTGCGACTTTCTGACAAGCAAATGGGAAATCCACATTCACTTAACAACCATGTTACTAACTTAACAAATGCAATCCTTAACTGCGGCAAGAAAAGTCCTAAAATGGGGCAAACTCAATTAACAAATGTTTCACTTAGCCACATAAATTTTGGGGTCAATTGTGGTCATAATTTGTCAACTCTTTCAGGAAGGCCAAGTCAGAAAACAAAACTCCACAAGTCTGATTGGAACTATAATTTATTGATACAGATTATAGTAAAAGAATCTTAAAAGTCTCACTGAGTTTTCCCTCTCTCCCTTTAAAAAACTCTAGTAAATTAAGGAGATAATCTGAGCTTCTTTCTCCTGCCTTTACTGTTTCTTAGCCTTGAAGTATGCTTTGGTTTATATTGTGGTCTCTGCTTAGTTTCCCCAAGGTGAGCTAGGAAATCTGACTGATCATGTCCCCTCTGGCAGCCATTTTATGAGAGTATCATTTCATGTTCTTATAATTCCAAATTTGAAGCCAATTTTGAAGGTTTCTGATCAACTGGAATCTGAATGCTTGTGGTAACTCTTTTTCAACACTTACTGCAGTATACAGCTGTTGCAAAAACTTTTAGCATTCTCCTTGTTCTGCTATATAAGGAAAAAGTTACATTTAATATTTCCATTTGCTTTCCAGCTGCACTTTACTTCTCATGGGGCTTATTTTTTTTTCATTTCAAGCCCTTGTTGCTCTCGCCTGAAAAAGCCAGGCAAAGTGGCAGGAAGTTGAACAAAGAAGGGACATTGGAATGAAGGATATATGATGAGTAGAAGTAGGACACAGACATAGATATCTTCAGTAGTTTCTGCAGCCAACTGTAATTATTTGAACTGGAGCTCAGTTGTGATTAGAGCTAATTGTGGAACCTGTGGTAAAAGAGCCATGGTGACGCAATGGTTAAAGTGCAGTATTACAGGCAAACTGCCCACAGCCAGGAGTTTGATCCTGACTGGCTCAAGGTTGACTCAGCCTTTTATCTTTCTGAGGTTGGTAAAATGAGGACCTAGATTCTTGGGGGCAATATGCTGACTCTGTAAACCACTTAGGGTTGTAAAGCACTATGAAGCAGTATATAAGTCTAAGTGCTATTGCTATCTACTTTGCCTTATTTGCCAATTTGAAGCTTTGCTTTTGGTGCCCTTGCCTCTGTCTTGATTAAAATAGTCCTTTAATAGTAATACTTTGAACTGTACTCTTTCATTAAGAGCTTAAAACTTCATCTGTTGTGTGCACTTTATAACAGTAGTATTGGATAAAGTTCGATGAAGTTCTCATCAAGAAAATAAAGGGAGATGGGTTTATTTGTCTTTTAAAGGAGATCCCACAACAAATGAATGGCAGTGATTGTGGAATGTTTGCCTGTAAATATGCTGACTGCATTACCAAAGACAAACCAATTAACTTTACTCAAGTAAGTTGGTGCTGTATGGGCACCTCTTTGTTTTTATGGGAAAGACTGGTTATGGGAATTTGAGGCTACAGTTTGTAAATACAGTTTCAAAAATGATGATTCTTTTTAACAAAGTACTGGCTAGATTAATCTTGGTTTTGTGTTTAAGCAAGAGAGGAAGGGCAGAAATATGTCAGTATGCATTAAAAAATGAATGCCCTGGTAATGTTACAAATATATTGATATTACTGATTTCTTACTGTTAAAGCAACACATGCCTTACTTCCGGAAACGAATGGTCTGGGAGATCCTCCATCGTAAGCTGCTGTGATTTCATGCCAAGTAAGACTCTTCAGAGACTGAAAACCCCAGGTTTCCTCTTCTTGGCCATCTCCAAATGGACTGCATGGGTTTCTCCACTGACAAGACTATGTACATTACACTTGGTATCTTTAAAAAGAAAATACATCTATTTCTTGGACCAGTGTGCCATGCGGCCTTTTTGAAGCACACATTTTCTTTTATATTTTGAAACTCTATTTTTTACAAGGGACATTTGAGACTTGGAGGAATGCAGCTTTTTATCTTCAAGAAGATTTCTGCCTCTCTTAATAAAATGGCCGGCTTCTGCAAAGGACTTGAGACCTGCCAGTGTTCAGCTGTAGGCCTTGGTGCAGGGAAGCACTTGCAATCTTTTCTTGGATCTGTCAGGATCTAGAGAAGACTCAATGTCATAGTACTAAGTAGTTGTGGGTTCTCCATATTACTGTTGCTGCAGCTAATTATCTGATGTAAAACATGCAGGGATGTGTTTTGGGGAATCTATTTGGCCTAGGTTTTTCAGACATATGTGCATGTTTATGTGTTTTCTGATTCTTATAATCTGTTAATAACATGGTGATTCCCACAGCAGTTGCAACAACTTAGATTCCCTTTTATTCTTAAACTATTAAGAGAAATGGCATTCTTTAAGAATGGAAAGCGAATAGTCACCAGCACATGAAAAGTAACCACTTGCTCTGTTTTTCACCATGGCAGTGACCTTTTGAATTCTACAGTAGAGCTGCCCAGTGGAAAATTAACAATCCTTTATGTTGACATTCAGTGTTTATTTTGTCACAGTAAATGAGTCATCCTCTGATTATTGAGAGATTATGAGGATTATGAGTTATCCTCTGATAATTCAGGACTAAGCATTTATCCTAAAGACAGGCAAGGATTTGTGGGAAGAGGCATTGTGCACCGAAAGTCCTTATTCTTCACTGTCCCCTCCCCAAGCCTGCTGTGGTGGATTTTGAATCTGAGAAAGAAAAGTCAGACACCTTTGTGGCCTACATCACTACATTCAGATGACTGGGATTATTATTGAAAGCCAGCATTTTTTGTCTTATATTCTTGCAATGCGATCTGGATCTTAGTTTCATGAAAAACTAAAATTTTGAAGAGTTGGTGCATTACATTCTCAATAAAAGTAGGATTTATAGCAAACTAAGCAGCTGTAATGTCAGTGGGTGTTCATTTGACAGGATTAAATAGTTCATCTTTCAGCTCTTTGTAGAATTAAGGTACAATATAACTTGTTTTAAGACTTTAATTATTGGTAAACAGTTTTTATACTACAAATATATAAATATATATATATATATATATATATATTTATATGCCTTTCCCAGTGACTGCCAATGAACAAATATATATATATATATATATACAGCTTTTTTTTCTCTTTTTAAAAAGCTGAATTGAAAAGTTGCTTTTTTACTCATATGCTCCTCCCTCCTGTTTTTGTTGATAACAGCAATTAATGAATTGAAGAATGCCCTAAAGAGTCTTTTTCCCCCCCATAATCCTATTTTTGCTTTGGATTACAACTTCCATCAGCCTCCTCCGATCCAGTTAATGGAAGTTGAGAAAAATATATTGTACATGGGCACTAGATAGGGGAAAACTGATACTGAATCTGTCCAGCTTTTGTATGAAATCGGTAAGAAAGAGATCCTGCTGGCATAGGCTTTATCTCTCAAGAGGCAAATTTTTCACAGGGCCCATGACACCCTGTTTAACATTGATGGAACCATTATCTTTTGTCCAATATGAGAGAATATTGCCTTTTCAGATCATACTGAAGATTATCTTCAGTCCACCACCAACAATTTCGGTATAGCCAATCTTGCATTTGTTTCAGTGGAATCCATATTTAAATGGAAATTTTATATAGCAGCTGGATTGGTCTCTGTTTCTGCCATCAACCAACAGAAATGGAATGCAGCACACAGAAAGGATTTAGGCTGGGACTTAAGTTCGCATGTCACACATACCTCTTGATGTATCTTTTTAAAAAAATAATTCTAAAGTAAATGTCCTCTTGTATTTCTGCCATCAAACAGGGAACATTTTATATATTCTATATGTGGAAACAATAGTTTTGTACAAATTTCCATTAGCCTTCTTAGACAAGTTTGTACCTTTTTTGATGTCTCGTATTTTTTTATACCAGTCTCCGGTCCCCTTTTTTATGTTTTTTCTTCATAATCTAATTTTATTTTGTAATGTGTTATTCTTAAATAAATCCAGCCATTTAAAAATGTAAAGAATCAAAGTCTGTTCTTTTATTACCTGCAATGTAATGTAGCTTGTATTCTTATTTCAGAGGATATAGTGTATTTAATAGAATATACTCATAGCCCTAACATATATGCTTCACTGATCAGAAGGGAGTATCTTTTTGCAGAATAAGACCTTAGTAACTGAAATCTGTTTCATATGATTCACTGAATATAATTCCTTCTTGGCTCCAAATATTTTTTGGGAGATTAAGAAGTGGGAATATTTGATGTTCACGTAATCCTTGACCTAGAATCATTTGTTTAGTTACTGTTTGAAGTTACAACATGGCACTGAAAAAAATGACATGACTGGCCCTCACACTTATGACTGGTCTTTGCACTTGTAGCATCCTCACAGTTGTGATCAAAATTCAGGCACTTGGCAACTGGCACATATTTACAATGGTTGCAGTGTCCCAAGATCATGCGATTACCATTTCCCATCTAGCTTTTGACAAAGTCAATGGGAAAAGCTGGATCTGCTAAATGACAGCATCAAACAACTGGCAAGAAAAGGGTGTGACTGGATCATCTTGCTTAGCAACAGATATTCTGTTCTTAATTGTAATAACTCGAGGACTACCTTATAGACTTGAGTCTTGACACTAGGAGCTATAAGAGCCTTGCAGTGACAACTAGTTTCTTGCCATAGAATGGCAGGTTAAAACTGTACCATAAAGGAACTAAGTAACCATCTTCTGCAACGCTTGTTAAACAAAGCCTTGATTATAAACTATGCCTATAGTAAAAATTGAAAGTAGATATCAGCAAATACCCTTCTGGGCATTTTCTGATTGAGAATGTATCCCATTACCCTTTATGTTGCCAATTAGATTTATCTCTCAGTTCTGTTCAGCGAAAAAAACATCATCCAACTTTAGTGATGCTGTGTCACAGAATGCTGTGTCATCAGCTTTCAGCATTTCAACCATAATGCAGTCATTTCCTGATTATTAGTTTACAAAAAGATATATCTGCTGTTGTAGATAGGGGGCAGTAGCCCCCCATATTCAAAGAAAAATGTGTTCATCATTTACATTTCATAGTGTTCATATATAAATATGTACAGCTGTCTTATTAAAAATATCAGTTCACACCTATTAGTTCTCTGGCTAGTATTTGAAACTTTCTTGATTCTGGAGGTAGAATTTTGTGAAACAGCTGGCAGCAAAGTATAGTTACTAAAAAGCATATAATAAAGCTGCTCCAATCTGATATTCAATGATTGCAGCAATAACTCTATACTCATCTTTTCTACACTCAATTTGTGTGCTGCAATTCCTGTTTTATCCCATTCATGACTCCGCCCTCCAAAATGCTCAGTGTAATTGGCTTCTCTATGAAATAAGAAATGGTTGCCGATTCCACGGTTAGAATAGACTAACATTTTATAAAGCTGGTACAGAGCTCATGATATAAAACTCAGAATACTTGTAAGAAAATTGTTTTGGTGAAGTTTACTTGACTGTTAGATATCTGAACATAATTCACTTAAATCTGCCAAGTTGAGTGACAATATGTAGCAGACCTTGGATAATCTTAGAAAGCTAAGCAGGACAGACCCTGGTTTGTGTTTGGGTGGAAGACCACTAGGAAATTTGTAATAATAAAGTCACATATTACTCTATTCAATATGGAGCTTAATTTCCCCAAAAATATTAAATGTGAGCCCTGGTCTCTCACAAACTATCTTTGTATTAATGACCACTAAACTAATCCATTAATTTCATTAAATTTCCTTTAAAATTAGTCTCTGTGCCTTTTGGAGTTTATAGGTAGTCTTCGACTTACAACCACAACTGAGCCCAAAATTTCTGTTGCTAAGTGAGACGTTTGCTGAGTTTTGCCCCATTTTATGACCTTTCTTGCCACAGCTGTTAAGTGAATCATTACAGTTATTAAGTTAGCAACACGGTTGTTAAGTGAATCTGGCTTCCCCATTGACTTTGCTTGTCAGAAGGTTGCAAAAAATGATCACATGATTCTGAGACACTGGCAACCATCATAAATACAAGTCAGTTGCCAAGCATCTGAAGTTTGATCACATGACCATGAGGATGCTGCAATGGTGGTCAGTGTGAAAAATCACTTTTTTCAGTGCTGTTGTAACTTCGAATGGTCACTAAATGGACTGTTGTAAGTCGAGGACCACCTGTACTTAGCAATATACTAAAGTCAGTCATAATAATTTGACAGTCAGTCAAATTATAACGTTAGCAGGAGATGAAAGAATCTGAAAGATGCCAAGATGAGGCCCCTAGATAAGAAGCATACTGGAGAAGTTTGTGGAGTTAAAAAAATATGGGCCATCTACAGACTAATGTAATTGTGTTTCATGGAGTCTCAAGCTGGAAGTGAAAACATCTGAAATGATGACTTCTCCCCCCCCCTTTTTTTTTTCTTTCTCTTTTATTCAAATATTGCCCACTGGCTGAGGGATTTTCAGGTCATGTTCATGTTGACTCTCCTCACAGCTTTCCCTTTGCAGACATGAGCAACGCTTTTCCCAACATTTCCAAGTCATTACCATCTTTAATCTCTCCACACACACGAACAAGGATCTTCTGTAAACGTTGCTGGAGCTGAACTGACAATATTTCATTTATACCTTGCTCCTTCTTCCAAGTTTTCTTACAGAAGACAGGAGCTCTTTATCCTAAGTTTAAAGGTAGTGCTCAACTTACAACAGTTCATTTAGTGATCATTTGAAGGTACGATGACACTTTAAAAAGTGATGTGACCATTTTTCACATTTATGACTGTTGCAGTATCCTCGTGGTCATGTGATCAAAATTCAGACATTTGCCAACTGACTCATATTTATGACTGCTGCAATGTCCGGGGGGGGGAGGGGGTCACCTCTTGTGACTTTCTGACAAGCAGTCAATGGGGAAGTCAGATTCACATAACAATTGGGTTACTAACTTAACAATTGCAGTGATTCACTTAACAACTGTGGCAAGAAATATTGTAAAAAGGGGCAAAACAATAGCTGACTCACTTAGCAACAGACATTTTGGGCTCAATTGTAGTTGTAAGTTGAGGACTACCTGTATTTCAGAGTTCCTGCAGTGGTCATGATGTGGATCGCTTAAAGCTTCATTTGGCTTGCTTATCAACCAACATGTAAGAGAAGTGAATCCCTTTTCCACAGCTCCCCTTTAGAACTAATGAGACAAATGGATCACATATGGATCATCTACATATACTTAAAGATCTGTTATACGAATATAGGTGATCTTTGCTTACTGATCGCTTGTTCAGTGACTATTCAGTTACAACGATGCTGAAAAGGGGGATTTAGAACTGATCCTTAAGGTTGCAGCCATCACGGCAGTCACCTGCAGTCACATTGGGTGCTTAGCAATCAACACACACGTATGACAGTTGCAGTATCCCACAGTCATGTGATCTCCATTTGTGACCTTTACAGCCAGCTTCTAACAAAGCAAAGTCAATGGGGAAACCAGTAGGAAATCACAAATTGCAGTCATGTGATGTTACTTCATGACCTGTGGTGATTTCACTGCAACCAGACCTGTTGTTAGAAGTTGAGCCCAATCATGTGATATTTCATTTTATGAAGAGATAGCTTAGTGACAGAGTTGTCAGTCCCAATATCTTGGATCCAAATTGTTTGGGGCCTTTTGTGTCAAAAAAAAAAAAATTGATAATTGAATATGCACACATTAGACCAAAGTGTATGGAGCGACCCATGTTGAGAAAGGCTGGATTAGAATGTACATGGTATATACTCAGTTAATTCTGCTCAGCTTTTCTATTTTACTGTATTTTACATACATACATAGACACACACATACACATACACACACACACACACACACACACACACACACAGAGAGAGAGAGAGAGAGAGAGAGA